AACATTAACCATTTCCTTTTGGTACAGTGACTCTGTGTATTCCTTCCACCTTCTCATCATGCTTTCTGCATCATTGAATAATTTGCCCAGAGATTCTTTCAATAACGAAAGTCGAAGCTTGAACTTTTTCTTCGGTTCCCCCAGCTTGAGAAATGCTGAGCGTGTTCTTCCTTTTTGGTTTTCTGATTCCAGATCTTTGCACATTTTGCACACTGCACAGCTTAGATATTACTAAATACCTTGTGGGAAAGAGCCAATGAGTCTGGGGGCTCAGGACCATATTCTTGGTGGACACCACGGTCCACTTGCAGAACATAGTCCACAAAGACAATGTCCTCCATCCTATTTTGTTGAGTAGAGTCTGGGATCTCAAAAACTCATGAGCAGCCATCTAAGCTGCAGTTATGTGTCTCTCCCTGTCTGGAGGAAAGAAAAGTGATGAAAATGGAAGATGTTTGGAAACTACTGGGCCATGAGACCATCAGTCTCCATGACCTACCACCAGAAGAACTCAACAGTGTATCACTACCACTACCTCTGCTCTGAAATGGACCACGTTCGAAGACCCTGCATAGAATGGGACAAAACGTGGAATAGAAGTCACAAAAAAGACCAGAATTATCCGTCAGATAAAGACTGGTGGAACCCCAAGACTATGGCCCCTGGTCACCCTGAATTCAGGTCTGGAATTGAACTCACCCCCCCATGGCTCAATTTTCAGCCATGTAATAGCTAAGTATATAAGGGGCAACAACTCTAGTGAAGTACATACACCATAGATAGAATGGTCAGCCGTTCACGATTGGAAGGGAAGCATTTACCCAAGGATAGAAATCACCACGGTGGGAAAAGGAGGAGAAACAGAAACGAACACAGGGAGGAAGTGGTAAGAGTTGTCACACGGTCACACGGAGGGGGATTGCAATCATGAAGTTGAAACCAAGCATGTGATTTGTTGAATGTAAAACTGATGATCTGTTCTATGAACCTTAAAAGTAAGTCATAATAAAAAGGGTTTCTGTTAAGTTCATGGGAAAATCCTGTTATCTTTTAATTTCCCTTTTCCAGAAACTTTCTGAAGCCCCCTCATGTCTAACACATACCAGGTACTCAGGAAAAAAGACGTTATCTGAAAAAGCTTCCATTTAAAAATTGTGCTGCTGTTCGTTGTGCCTCTGAGTTGATTCTGAATCATGGTGACTCCATATGTGGATTAGAACTTGTTCCATAGGGTTTTCAAGGCTGTGACCTTTCAGAAGCAGGTCACCCAGGTTGTCTTCCAAGGTGCCTCTGAGTGGGTTCAAACCACCCAACTTCCAGCTAGTGCTGGAGTGCGTGATCATTCATTCCACCTGGGGACCTCTTCAATAGCATTTAAAATTACAAAGTAATCCATTGCACTGATTCCAACAATTCATTAATCTTTAAAGAAGAAACAGTGCTTTCCTCTTTAGAATTTCAAAGAATTGGCAATAGTAGTTAAAGGAATATAATTTCCCAAGCATCGAGCCATCATTCTCAGAAGAGTGCTGAAAAGACAAAACTCTAGAATCTACTATTGAAATGAAAGGACATTCACATCCTGTAAGTTTAAAGGGAAGAAATCCTAGCGTGGAAACCCAAGGAGTGAGGTCTTTTACTCAAACTGCCCCATTTGGCAGATGAGCACAGTGAGGACCAATTTTCCCAATATCAGTAAGGACTAAACTCTCCCAAATCGGTGTCCTGGGGACATTTCTCTCCTCTAGGACAGTGATGAGTTTCCAACTCTCTGGGGTCAACCTCTGAGGACTAACTCTGACAAGCTGGTTGTATTGGGTGGACAGCTGTGGGCATCCCAGGGCATCCACTGGGAAGATTCTCAGGAGCCCTGGTGGAACCGTGGTTAAGGGCTTAGCTGCTAACCCCAAGGCCAGCAATTCTAAGGAAGAAAGAAGGTAACAGCCTTGGAAACCTATATGGGACAGCTCTGCTCAGTCACTGTAACTTTCAATCTATCTCATTTCATTTCTGTTGTGATTGGTAGTGGTAGGGAAAGGGCTGTCTAGCATTTGTGTGTCTGTTTAGCTGTTTGCTTCCAGGGTTCAATGAAGGAATGTAATTGGATGATTTTACTGAATGCCAACTGTAAAGCTAAGTAAATGCCACATTTAATACTTCTTTGGTTTAAGCAAATACACCAAATTTCTTCAAAATGCTGTGGTTCTTGTTAAGTGCCACTGAGTTGGTTCCGACTCACAGCAGCCCTTTATAGGGTTTCCAAGGAGCAGCTGGTGGGTTCAAACCACTGACCTTGTGGTTCAAAGCGACCTTGCAGTCCAGTGCATTATCCTGCAGCGCCACACCAGGACTCCTTTAAAATGTTGCTGTTGTTGTTGTTAAGTGCCGTCAAGTAGGTTCCGACTCAATAGCAACCCTGTATAGGGTTTCCAAGCAGTGGCTGGTGAGCTTGAACCACTGACCTTGCAGTTTAAACCGACCTTGCAGTCTAGCACATTAACCTACAGCGCCACAAAAGGACTCCCTTCTTTAAAAACAGGACTGAGGAATTCTAATTGTTTAACCCGAATGATTTACATCTGACATAAAAATATAGAACAAACGTAACAGGGATCTCAGCTGAAAGTCTCAGTAATATAAAATACATAGAATTCATATGAGGGGGCTTCGAAAAACTCATGGGACAATCCCATCATCTTTTCATTCCATTTTCCCATGAACTTTTGGGAGACCCTCCTATGTGCAGTACAAAACAATGTAAGCTACCAGCAGAGAGCTGGCACCATACACTAGATGCAAACTATAGATTATCTTTAAGTGCTGTCTAGTCAGTTCTGACTCATAATGACCCTATAAAGGATTTCCAAGGAGTGGCTGCTGAGTTTGAACCGCTAACCTTGCAGTTAGCAGTCTAGCATTTATCCTACAGAATCACATCAGGACTTCAAAGAACATCCAGAGCAATGTAAATATTCACACAGAAAATAAATGTATCAATACAAGCTTCCCAATAGAAGAGTAGCTTTCCAAACTCAAGAGGGAAATATCTTACATTTTTATATTAAATTTTAAAGTTTAATACCTGGTCTTGTGTCACTTTTAGGAAAAAGATCAAAGATTTAAAATCTGTATTTAACGTGACAAGTTCTCTCTCCTAACTAATGACTAAGAATGTCATATTGAAAAGTGACAAAAAATGTTTAAATTCCAGGGAGAAAGATAAGGCTTTCTGCTCCTGAAAAGATTCACAGCCTCGGCAACCCTATACAGGGTCACTCTGAGCCAGAACCAACTTGATGGTACACAACTACCACAATATAAAAACCAGTGAAGCATTCCAGAAATCTACATTTGAAGCTGCAAATAGAAATTACCATATCTACAAATCTTGTCAAAAATATTTTCTTGGTACAAAACTCCACCTACAGGGAACTTTGGCATCAAAGGCGGCAGCATCTGCTATCTCTTTGGAAGCAGAAATGTGAGGTATAAATGCATTCTGTTGGTAAATTTTAAATACCTTCATATTCACAGATGAAGAACTGAGAAAATCAAGACAAAATGTGGCCAAAAGGCTATTATTTATACAAATGTGAAGTCTGTTGAGAGGGCTCCAAACATTTCCATGTACAAGCTTGGCTCAGATTCTCTTCATACAGAATGTGAATATGAGAATATGCTGCAAGTAGCGTAGTGGTTACGAATCAGGCTGTGAACCTCAGGGTCAGCAGTTCGAAACTACCAGCTGTTCCGTGGAAGAAAGATGAAGCTTTCTGCTCCCGTAAATATTCACAGCCTCGGAAACCTTGTACAGGGTCCCTATGAATCGGAACTGACTCCACAGCACATTAACAACAACAACATATTTAAAGAAACCCCACAGCTTTTTGATATTTTACTAACGCAAAATGATCCTGTCCAATGTATCTATGTATTTGTCTGTATGTATAAGGAACTTTGGTAGCGTAGTGGTTACAAGTCGGGCTGCCAACATTAAGGTCAGCAGTTTGAAACTACCAGCAGTTCCGCGGGAGAAAGATGAGGCTTTCTGCTCCAATAAAGATTTATAACCTCGGAAACCCCGTGCAGGGTCACTATGAGTCGGAACCAACTCCACGGTACTTAACAACAACATATTATACTCCTAGTATGATACTGTAGAAAAGGCACTTGACAACTAATCACAAGGTCAGTGGTTCAAACCCACCAGCTGCTCCTTGGATACCTTAGACAGAGTCTCTATGAGTCACATTGGCTCAATGGCACTTAACATTTCTACCTACACCGCTCTATGTAAAACATATGGTGAATGTGTTTTAAATATGTTATCTATTGTTGTTGGCCGATGCTGGCTTAGCCCCTCATGGCAACCCCGTGTACAATGGGACCCCAGGGTGACCCATTTCATTACATTAGGTTACTGCCAGCACAAATACTGAGGCAAATTCACGTGTCCACACTCACACCCCTAGTTACTGGTTGTTGTTGTTAAGTGCCGTGGAATCGGTTCTGACTCATAGTGACACTGTACAGGGTTTCCAAGGCTGTAAATCTTTACAGGAGCAGAAAGCCTCATCTTTCTCCTGCAGAATAGCTGGTAGTTTCGAACTGCTGACCTTGCGGTTTGCAGCCTGATTCATAACCACTACGCTACCAGAGTGGGCATCTTTAAATGAATGTATGTTGTGGTTAAGTCCATCGAGTAGGTTCTGACTCACAGAGACCCTGTATAGGGTTTCTGAGGAGTGACTAGTGGGTTTGAACCGCCAACCTTGTGGTTAGCAGTCCTGTGCTTATCCCACAGGGTCACACCAGGACCCCAACAGATGACTGAAACAGTCCGTGTCTGAGTGCAAAGCAGGTAACTAGACAGCCTTGTCTCTCTGCTCAGTCACAACTGTCTGTCTCGTCCCATCATACCCTACACACCATAATCCTTCCAAAATAGGAGAGCCAAGTTCTTTATGGAGAAACCAAAATTAATCCCTGGTCAATGTATTCATGGGTGGAGTCCTGTTGTGGTGCTGTGGGATAAGCACTGGACTGCTAACCACCAGGTCGGCAGTTCAAACCCACCACTTGCTTCTCAGGGTCGCTATGAGCCCGATTTGAGTTGACAATATAGTATTCACAGGTTCCCTGGTAGCACTGCTGTTAAAGCACTTGACAGTTAACTAGAGGTTGGTGGTTTGAGTCTATTATTCACTTCTCAGGAGAAAGATGCTCCTTTCAGTAAAGATTCATCATTGTGGGTCATTGCGTACCGTCGAGTTGGTTCTGACTCTGAGCAACCCCTGCATAGTTTCCGAGGCTGTAAATCTTTACGGGAACAGAAAGTCTCATCTTTCTCCCACAGTGCGGCTGGTAGATTCCAACTGCTGACCTTGTGGTTAGCAGCCCGACTCATAACCAAGATGCTCCCAGAGCCCTGGAAACCCTACAGGGCAGTTTGGCTCTATCCTGTGAGGTCGGTTCCACAGCAGTAGGTTTGAATGTCTTTCTGTTGCGGTGACAGATTCACACTCGGGGTTCAGAGATGGAGTCTATTTATATCTGTGTGACCAAACAGTAGACGCTGTCTGCAAACTAAAGAATATCTCCAACAACGGAAACATCCAGACAGGAAACAAATGCATCAATACAAGCTTCCTAACAAAAAAGTGGGGAGTTCTGCTAGCCAATGGACTGCTAGCCACAAGGTTGGCAGTTCAAACCCACCAGTCGCTCCTTGAAAATCCTATACAGGGTCACTGTGAGTCAGAACTCACTCAATGGCATGTAACAACAACAGAAAAGTGAAGTCCTGGTGTGGTACTGCGGGCTAAGGACTGGACTGCTAATCCCAAGGTTGGTGGTTCAAACCCACCAGTAGATCCTTGGAAACCGTATACAGGTTTCTATGAGTGGGAACTGATTCGACAGCAGCTTCACAATAGAAAGCAGCTCCTGAAAATCGAAAATAGAAATCACCTCTTGTAAAGATCAGAGAACTCTGGCATGTTTTCATCTTAACCAGTCCTCCATCCTTCCCCACGCACCCTTACTTTTCGGAGATGCTGCTAAAGCTCTATCAAAACAAGGTTTTAGCTACATTGAAAGGAAACAAACATTTTCTGCAGACTCTACCAACAGTAATAAAGTAATGCAGGTGGGAATCCTAGAAACTGCTTGGCGTCTTAATAACCCCAAAGAAAATATTTATTTTAGCCAAACAACTGTAACGTTTGTCTCCTTTCAGAAACACCTGCTACCAAAATAAACAAATACATCGTACAAAGTGTTTTCACTGTTAAGATGGTACCAAATACGATGCTAAAGTTCTGAAAGAAGTTTTTTAAATGAGAGAAGAACACAGCAACATAAGCATAGTAAAAAGTTTATCAAAGAGGGGATTGTGATCATTGCAATGACACATGAGTATAAAACTGATGCTCTCCCAATGTAAACTATCACTCAATTCACAACAAAACCTTTTTTAAAATAAGTTTATCAAAGAGAAACTAAAGGCACAAATTAACATATCTACTGATTTAATGAAAGGTGCTCTGGTAGCGTAGTGGTTACGAATCGGGCTGTGAACCTTAAGGTCAGCAGTTCGAAACTACCAGCTGCTCCGCGGGAAAAAGAAGAGGCTTTCTACTCCCGTAAGGATTTACACCCTCGGAAACCCTGTACAGGGTCGCTATGAGTCGGAACCGACTCGAAGGCACTTAACAACAACAACAACAACTGATTTAATGAGTTCCAGTGTGGCACTGTAGGATAAGCACTGGAATGCCAACTGCAAGGTCAGCAGTTCAAACCCACCAGGTGCAGAAAACATATACATGGTCGCTCTGAGTCAGAACCGACTCGAAGGCACTTAACAACAACAACAGCATTTATGGTGAGGTGGCAGACAAGAAGTCTTGGTGTGGCGCTGTGGGTTAACACGCTGGACCACAAAGTTGGCTTGAACCCCAAGGTTGGTGGTTCACAGTCACCAGCCACTCCTTGGAAAGCCTCTACAGGGACGCTATGAATCGGAGCTGAAGTCCTCAACTAAATCTGTTTTCAATTGTTTTACATTGATTTAAAGTTGTAAGTTCTGATAGGGTGCATGAAGACAAATAACGAACGTTTTTCTAATTTTGCCACTCAAAACCAAAACCCACAACGATCCAGTCGATTCGGACCAACTCTATAGGGCAGAGGAGAACTGCCCCATAGTTTCCAAGGCTGCAAATCCTGACAGGAGCCGGCAGTCTCACCTTCTTCCATGAAGCAAGCAGCTGGTGGATTTGAACTGCCAACCTTTAGGTTAGCAGCGCAACACTTAACCGACTATGCCACACGGGCTCCTCTAATTTCACCACAGTGTCAACGATCACGTTCCCTGCTCTTGTAAAGGTCTTCCTACTACAGCTGTTCATTTAATAACTAGTAAGACACTACCGGTGTGAAAGCACCCATGAACTTATAAATCTCCCATCCTGCCTTTTTTCCCTTCCTGCAGCTTTATAATTCCAACAAACATCTGCGTAAAGGAAAGTTCAAATATCAACCCAATAACTCAGGAAAGGGCTCCGACTACACAGGTGAAGTCGGCTTTACACAAGTAAAGACGTCTTAGCTTCCCAAGTCTATTTCCTCTCGTGTTCTTCCTTTTACATGAAAGTCTTGTTTTGAAGCAAGTCAGTACAGGTCCATTGTACTTTTATGATCATAAAGGGAAGGAAAAATGATACAACACATTTACTCACCCCGACCCTGGTGCAGCCAAAGATACCTTGGTGTCTTTAAGTTTAAAGCAAAACCAACCCCAAAAATCTCAGAAAGATTTCAAGATTATACATCCTGCATGGAGCACTGCACAACTAGATGAAATCAACCAACGTGCTTCCGGTAACCATCCCAGGTCTGAATTCCAGAAGCCTGGGGCAAAACATTCTCCACAGAGGCAGAGAAAATTCATTTCCCCTCTCAGTTCAATCAGAACCCAAGCATACCAGGTTTTAGGGCACCATGCAAAACTAATCTGTTTAGCCATGTATTCACCTGATGACGTGGGAGACACAGTACCTGGAAGGCTACAAATCCAGTTCCAGCTAATAAAAACCGAAATAATGTACTCTTATCACGTCATGCATCAGAGCCCCATCCAGGAGTATATTTCAAAAACAAAATGATCACCATCCAAATCAAGAATCACTAGGTTAATAACTAAAGTCCAGCCCTCAGTGGCTAGCTCTGTCAGAGACAAAAACTCAGCCACAACACTACCCTGGGTCATTTCAGACAAGTGTCGGGTATGTTTGCGGACAGAATGCTAATTTAAAATGCATGTCACAGGAGTGGAATGCCAGCCAGGAATCAAACTGTGACCCCTGAGCCAAAGACAACTTACCACTCAGCTGGTAAGTGGGCAACTCAATTTACACACTCAAATTCCTGCATTTTAATCCTTTGCAGAAATATATGAGCAATATTAAATGAACTGGATTCAGCTCATTAGAGGTTCACAAACCAAACACAGAAAGCTTTGGAGGCAGTCCAAAGCACAGTCCTGACTAAATGGTGATGTCCACCCAATAAAACCCAATGTCATAATTACCTTTCCGTTTTTTCCCTGAAGAACATTAGTACCCATAACTACAACAATGCTCAGCCAATCACATGCATACCAGAAGGTAGACAGGGCCAGCAGCCAATCACTGGGGCCAGAACCTTGTTTGTGGACGAATGCATAGTTATCCACGACTTAGTAAACAAAGCAACCCACTGAAAATTCTTAACCAAAGAAGGCAGAGAAAAGCTCATAAAATAAATGTGTAAGCTCTAATAACCCTTACTCAAATTTTAAAGTTTTTCCCCCATTTTATAATTGTCTGGATTAGCTTGCACAGTTCACATGAACCTGGCGTCCATAAAACCTGCTTCCTTTAACATGTTACACATATTCTAAATGCATTCACAACCATTTTTAGCTTTTCAAATTTCAAAACAAAATACTCCAATTCTCAAAGCTGTTTTATAATAAAGTCATAGAGTGAAAGAGCCATATAGTCTATTTAGAACCTTTGAATATGAGGAACACAGTTTAAAATTTCATACTTACAGTCAGGACTTAAAAGTTTTTCACCAGATAAACCATTTTCCTTTCATTATCAGAAAAATCGTGTTTTAATTAGAATTGGGCATTTAATTTGGCTAGCAGTAAAATACCTCATCTAAAATCTTAATTAAAAATTTGCTGAAATAATTGGTGGGTGTTCATCAATTTGCCCTTTCAGAGAAACACAAGAGTTATTGGATTTCAATAGTATAAGAAAGGTCACAGGAATGAAATAAAACCAGAAAGTCAGAAAAGCGAGATTACCTTGTGCACGCGTATTTGTAAATATCCTCCAAGCTTACATATTTGGTAAAGAAAATCACAAAAAGATTTTCCCCCTTTATATAATAATTCTTCCCAAACTTTTTCCATGTATTTGACTTCCATGAAGCCAATGCCTCAAACTTCTTCAGAGAAAAGCTAGATCAAAGGAGCCAAAAGCTGCTTGGTTTTCAGTCCTCAGTGTCTTAGACTCCCGGTGGGTGGGAAACAAGGGGCGGCCAGCATCCACTTCTCTAAAACAGTCTAGCCACTTCTACCTTTCTGCAGTTCGCTCTCTTGCTGTGGCCAGAGGATAGTACAGATTGATTAGCCCCAAATGGAACCAACCAGAGACACACAGAGAGACAATTGTCACCTTACCATTCATTTACAAATCATCTCCCCTTTTCACTTACACCGCAGTATCCCCAACTAGAGATTTTCCATCATGAAATACTGAAGGAGAAATGTTCAAAGAGAAACTAAGCTCACAATTCATTATATAACCAGCTGCCGTGTAGCCAATCGATAATGAACAAAGAGTGTGAACTCCTGGCAGTAGTGAGGGTGGTTTAAGGAACCACCAACTAGGACTCAAAAACCACGCTACTTCTGTCTTTCCCCACAACCAACCTAAAAGAAAGATCTCAAAAAGTAGAGCCACGAGAAAGAGGAAGAATACTATTCAATTTCTGAAAGAACAGGCTCAAAAGTAATTTACTAATGAAGTTTAGCACCTGACAATACATCATGCAAAATATGAGGAACTCTTTTCCACATTCCCTTTACAGAGAATAAAGGTTCTATCGAGGAGGACTCGTTAAACCCTGGAATGGGTTCCTGATGGCATTAAGGGATAACCTATTCTGGAGACAATAAGAGCTGGGTGCCTGATGCAACCCAATGGGGTTTAAGACACAGTATGGGCTTTTGTAAATCAGTCTTGAATCTAATTTAGTCATTACCAAATTTCATGCTTCCTCAGACCAACATAACAAAGACACACTCTCAAGTCTCTAAGACCCTGGAGGTTACCACCACCAGGACATACACGACCATTTATACTAACTCCCAACTATTTGATGCTAGAGAAAAAGCAGGAGATGACTGGATCCTATTTTTGCTCTTGTTTGTAAAGAGTACAAAGAGTCTTTTTGGTTTGTCTTAAGTAAAAACACAAGATCCATCAAAACTCAAGAAAACATGAAATGCTCTGATATGAAATACAGAGAACTTTCTCTAAAGGTAGAGAAGCAATACACTGAGGAACAAAAGCAAAACAGCTTTGAATTTGTTAGAAGTTGCTGCCACATTTCATGGGCAAAACCTTTGAACGACTAGAACTCTCACTCGAAGACAGTCAATTCACACTCAGCTCTGACACAGTGTGACATCATCAAGGTTAGACAGCCAAGTTCACGTCCTAGTGCGGGTTTCTATCATTGACTGCAGAGACATGGTACAGTCCATCTGTAAAACACAGCTAGCAACAGCGGCCTTCTACCAAACAACTATGCTGTCCACTTGAGTCTAAGAAGCATGTCTTCCTCTCTTTTAAAGATGGGCGGGGGTGGGGTGGGGTGGGGATTGTACTCGTGACAATTTTAAGAAACAATGATGAAAATTTAGGAAAACAGATCGATGAAACCACCCCCTCATTCTACCAGTAACAACCTCAGGTAGAAAGTAAAAGATGAAGACAAAATTAACACCCAAGAAAAAAGGCTGGTAGAAGCGTCCACAAACCTGCTGCTGCGGGTACTGCATTCCGGCCATGGCCCCAGGGGTGCGACCTTGGATGCCAATGGGGTAACGCTGGGGGCCTGGTGGGCCGTAGGACCCGCCGGGATAGGGGCTGCTTTGCTGGGACTGAGAGTGGGGGTTACTGCCCATGCCGTACAGCTGCGGCCTCTTCATCACCATCGGATCCATTGGACTGCCCTGGAAAAACACAAGAAGGTGGTTTGTGATGTCATTATTGACTTCAAAGGCAGACACTTCCATTACACATATATGCATTAAAAGCACAACTAGTCTTGATTCTCGAAATCTTAAAACACCTGACAAATTAAAACGCAGAAGAACATGAAGTAAAACTCCTGGTCGTTTGTTTTCAGAAAGGTTTTAGTCACAAAAAGAGATCCGAAGAAGAGAGAAAATGTGCACATCCACAAAATTCTTATTACCACCACCCAGCTTTGAGGCGATTCCGACTCACAGCGACCCTATGGGACCAAGAAGAAGTGCTCCAAGATTGTGTATCTTTACGGGAGCAGACTGCCACATCTTCCTCCCATCAAGTGGTGGGTGGGTTTGAACCACCAACCTTGAAGATACTAATCCAACACTTACTACCAGGACTCCCTTTGAACTCGCATACACACAGAAAATGAGCTATCAGGACTAAGGGCAAACAAACCACATGGAGCACTTAGCCACACTTTCTGACTTCAAAGTATTCTTAGAACAACAACTGTTTAATTTGAGACCTGAGTCTGCAGGTCAAGTACTCATTAGAAAGTGGAAGGATAGATTCTGGATGAGACAGAGTGTCTAGGGTGAAATTTCCCCAGCTCATCAGTGCGTAGAGTAAGCACCCAGGTTAGGAGCCACGGGCCTTTCACCAAACACAAAACCAGACTCTGAATGTTGTTTTTGGTGTGATGAATCAGCCCCTGTGCCTCAGGGCCAATGCCACACCGAGAGCAGCAATGGAGCCTGCCTGGACCTTCCTGGTCAGGCCTCCCAGAGCAGCCTGCATTCAACACATTCATCATTTCTTCCCTCGAAGGTCCATCCTGGTCCCACCTGCGTGCCAGGCTCCGTATCAACAAGCAGGTAAGCACATGGGACACTGAGCAAGACCGAGCTTCACCAGGGCCAAGGGGAACACGCAGGTTCTGGGGATGGACAGGAGGTTGAGAATCTCAAGGCAGAAGAAAAGACACATAGCAGCAAAGGCTTGTGGGAGAGGAACTGTCCAGTGTCACTGAAGCAGACAGAAGCCGAAGAATAGCTGAGTCTCAGGTGTCGTTTTAAAGCTGACAATCTGGTCTTGTGGTCGAGCCACCGTGGGGAGAGGAGCTTTTTACAGGGAGAACTGTCATCAGAGACACCCTTCAGATAGCCAAGCTCTCAGGCAGCAGGCCCAAAGCCTGACTGGCCACAGTGGTGAGAAAGGAAGCCCAGGCTCAAGTCCCTTTTTGGTGGAGATGCAGTATGGAGTTCAACTGGATGATGAAGGCATGACTCGGGGGTCTGGACACAGTACAGGGAGAGGCAGCCCTCAGGCCAGGGGGGAAGGCCAGTGTCCCTATATAAAGCCTGTTTGACAGTGGACAGAAGGAAAGGACCCCTACCCCTGCATCTCAGGGAGAAAGTCGGACCTCCAAGGGTCTTCTACATAGAGAGGAACTGCATGCTGTCGTAGTTGCCCTTGAATCCCAGGACTGAAGTCACACAGTGGACCTGACACATAGTAAGTGCTCAGTGTACACAGGATGGATCCGTCAATAGACGGAGGGCAAAACCCAGAGCTCACCCAAGAGGAATGGATGAAATGAGTCAAGTCAGAATCCTAGAGACCACCACCATTTCAGGGAGAGGAAAAACGGAGGCAAAGGACGCTCGGAACATGTACTTAGAAGTTCTAGAAACAGTGGTCCACTAGAGGAAAAGGGAGTCAAGCGCAGCTACAAGGCTGGTGCCGGGTGAGGGCTGTGCTGCACTGAAGTGTGTCCCATGAAAAGATGTGTCGTGAACCCGAACTCCTTTACCCGTGGCCATGATCTCATCTGGGAATGGGTTCATTCTTACACTAAGAGGTTCTACAAGTGTAGGGTGTGTGTAAAACAGATCACCTTTGAAATACAAGAAATAGATGAGAACACAGGGTCAAGCAGAGACAGGGAAGATGCCACATCACATGAACTCAGGAAAAAAGGAACAAGGACTTTCTCCCAAGTCTTCCTCTAAAGCCGGTGCTCTGGATTCACACTATTCCAACCTCCTGACCTGTGAGGGAACACATTCCTGTCCATTAACGCCCCCTGAGTGGTGCACTAGTTACACTAACACTGAGGGAAGGGGCAGCCGTTTTTGCTGTCCTCAGCAAGGAAGGAGTGATGAAGTGAGGAAGGCGAGGGAGCCAGGACTCACGCCCAATGAGTGAGGAAGTTGAGCGCTCCCTTCCACATCACTCCCACCCCAGGTACACCTGGTCTGTCCCCCGCCTTCTTTATTAGGGCCACTCACATTTCCTGAGCACCTACCAAGTGCACTGGCCAGACACCGGCTGTCCAGCAGAACTGAACAGGGCACCAGAAGAGAATGGCTAAGTACCAGAAGCAATGCAGGAGACACTCTAAGGAGCAGACAGACAAGGTACCTAGGAGGGACTGTGGCATAGGAAATGTCTGGGCTAAGTCTGGAAGCAATCATAAGGAACTGCCCAGAACTGATGTCCCACAAAAGGATGTACACAGCACCAAGAAACAGTTCACACCTCACTGAGGACAGTCATGCTCAAAACCCACAGCCTTCATGGGATTTTAGGGACTCGGTTACTACCTCAGTGAACCAAGGCAAAGTCTGGACTTACAGCTACAGCAATGAAGTTCTGTTCGAATAATACACTGATGTTACACAAACGTGTGCTGTGTTCTAATTCAACACAGAAACAGCTGACAGGTTGTAACAGATCAAAACCCAACAATTAAATATTTTCTCCAGAATTACTTAAATTAGGATTTATGCCTGAGAAAAGCAAAATGTAATTAGTGCCCAGGCTTTCTTAAAAGATAAAATCAAGCTTTTCCATGGAAGTGCAGAAATGAAGGCTGAAATGGTGCTTTCAGAGTCCAGAAAGTGAATGCATGGTCCAGGGAGGCAGAGGCCAAGGTCGTCAGGTTAGAGGCTAAATTTCCACCGAGGCTCTAAGGCAACCCTCTCTTCACATGCACTCTGGATTAGCCCTGGGCCCAGGAAAGGTTTACATGATGTTATTGTTGTTGTTAGGTGCTACTGAGTCGGTACCGACTCATAGTGAACTCTATGCACAGCAGAACGAAACACTGCCTGATCCTGGACCAACCTCACTATTGTTGCCACTTTTGACCCCACTGATGCTGTCACTTTGCCAATCCATCTCATTGAGGGTCTTCCTCTTTTTCTCTGACCCTCCACCTTACCAAACATGATATCCTTCTCCAGTCACTGGTCCCTCCTGATAATATGTCTGAAGTATAAGAGATGAAGTTTGGCCATCCTGGCCTCCAAGGAGCATTCTGGCTGCACTTCTTCCAACACAGATCTGTTGGTTCTTTTGGCAGCCCATGGGGCTTTCATTATTCTCCTCCAACACTGTAACTCAAATGCATCCATTCTTCTATGATCCTCCTTATTCACTGTCCAGCTTTCACATGCATATGAGGTGATTGAAAATACCATGGCTTGGGTCAGGTGCACCTTAGTCCTCAAGCTGACATCTTTGCTCTTCAACACTTTAAAAAGGTCTTGTGCAGCAGGTTTGCCTAATGCAATACATCTTGACTGTTGCTTCCATTAGTGTTGATAGTTGATTCAGGAAGAATGAAGTCCTTGACAACTTCAATCTTTTCTCCCTTGATAAGAAACTGCACTACCCAAACTGGCTTAATTAAGGCATAAATTTTAAGTGGGTAAATGATTGGTATGCTATATTTTCATGCTACAGATAACAGTGCAACAAACTCATCTGATCGGGTGCTAAAATTGTTTTCTAATTTCCGTCTCACCACTGCCATAAACTCTCACAGTCCTACTTAAAATTCACTTCATTTGCACTTGTGTCAAAAACGCTAGCTCAACCCTGAGACTTTAAGGAGTCGAAAAGCATGAAATGCACTGATTATGTGTACCTCTCAAAATGCACCAACTACCTCTCAATGAGACTTCAGACATGAAAGCAGATGCTCACAGTTATAAGGAGAGAAGGCTAAAACGAAATGTAGCTCTAGCCTTCTCTCCTTATAGCCACTACCCATATGGTTTTCACTGGCCTATTTTCTGGTCAATTTTAGCCTGGAAGCTCTATTGAAAACTGCCCACATTTTACATTGGGCAAATTTGCTGGCAAAAGACTTCAATAAACAGTTAAAAAGTAAAGATGTCACTTTGAAGACTAAGGTGGAGCACCTGACCCAAGCCATGGTATCTAAAATCACTTCATATTTATTTACAAGCTGGACAACGAATAAGGAAGACCAGAGAAGAAATTAATGCATTTGGATTGGGTGTTGGCAAAGAATACTGAATATACCATGGACTGCTAGAAAAGCAAACAAATCTGTCCTGGTGTGACGCTGAGGGTTAATGCACTGGACTGCGCTCCTCGGGAAGCATATACATGGTCTCTAAGGGTCTCAACCGACTCAACGACACTTAACAACAACAACAACAACACAGCACGACTGCTACTCGGAAGGAGGATGGTGAGACTACGTTTCACGGATTGTGGTGGGCCATTCTGACTCATAATGACTCTGCATGGATTTCTGAGAGCCGTTGACGGGTTCTGAACTGCTTTATCCCACAGTGCCACACCAGGACTCCTTCCTTAGATACTTCCTCCTCATCACTCTTTCAGAATATGCCTATACATGTACTTGTGGTAAAAATATCTATGCAATTGTACTGGCTCTTAAATATCAAGCTGAGAAAATGGTTTTATTTTTGCTGTTAAGTGCTGTCGCGTTGGTTCTGATTCACAGTGATCTTGTATAGGGTTTCCAAGGAGCGGTTGGTGGGTTTGAACCACCGATCCTTGTGGTCAGCAGTCCAGTGTTTATCCTACAGTGCTTCAGAGTTATTTATTCATAGACCATTCCACAACTTTTTCAGCCTACCTCTTTAACTGTAAATTGGAGAAAGGGTTTTAAAAACCTACAGAAAAACCATCACAC